TTTTTCTCAACGTTTATTTATTTTTGGGACAGAGAGAGACAGAGCATGAACGGGGGAGGGGCAGAGAGAGAGGGAGACACAGAATCGGAAACAGGCTCCAGGCTCTGAGCCATCAGCCCAGAGCCCGACGCGGGGCTCGAACTCACAGACCGCGAGATCGTGACCTGGCTGAAGTCGGACGCTTAACCGACTGCGCCACCCAGGCGCCCCGAATCAGCGTTTTTAGATGCTGATACATGAGTTTCACAAAGTAACGCCATGCTCTAGAACCGTGTTGTCCACTACAGTTAACATCGGCCACGTGTGGTTACTTAAATTTAATTAAAATAAAAGTTCAGCACTAGGCACAGTTTAATTGCTCATTAGCCCTTTATGACTGGTGGCTACCGTACTGAACAGTGCAGACTTAGAGCATTTTTATTATTGCAGAAAGTCTTGTACTGCTCTAGAATGAAAAATGGACATCATTCCACTTGAGACACATAAATGTCTTAATGTCATTAAATTGTTCCTGACACATTCCCCCTATTCTCTGAGAGTAAACCATTCTTTTTTTTTTTTCCTGTCTACAATAGTGTTTGCGAACAGAGCACGTAGGAAAGTTTTCGTTCTGAAGTCGTAGTAAATGTAGATATCCGTTCTTGTTCCATACTCTTCCGTGTTAGTGAAGTTTTGATAGAAATAGTTCTTCTGTGCTGTAAAACAGTTTTAAAGCAGGAGGCAAATATTTGTGGCTCGTAAAAACTCAGAAAAATCACGAATCCACAGTAAACTGTCACGAATTCCAACAAACAGAAGCAAGACAGCACTCACTTTATTCTTCATGTAAGTTTCAAAGATGAGAAAAGCTCCATCCTCCGGGAAGTCTCCCGTCTGTCTGGGCGGTGATGGCAGGACTGGACAACCTGCACTAGGGCAGAGGGATAGCAGTTTTAAACCTGGGAGTAGCATAATCAGATCTGTCTTCTACTCTGGCTGCATTCTAGAGGGCGGTTTGAGGTAGGGCCAGAGGTGAGGGGGATATCGGAACATTCCAGTTGAGAAGTGATTTGTGCTGTCACATTGCAGTGGACGGGGTAGCAGCAGTGGCTGCAAGAAAGAATTCTATATACAGTAGGAGCTGGTGGCCTGTTAGAAATGAGAGGGAGAAGAAGAATCTCAAGACGATGGCTGGGTTTTTTGCTTCGGTGGTAGACGATGGCATCACCAAGCTGGCTAGGAGCAGTAGGACAAGGAAGAGGGTTTGAAGGAAGACAGTAAATTTGAGCACGTTGAACTTAGATGTTTGCAGCATCTAGGTAGAGATGTCCCTCAGACTGGAGCTCAGGAAGGTGGTCCGACTAGAGACGGTGTGAGTCTTCTCTAAGTAGAGTCATGATGTAGGGAATGTGAAGAATGAGAAGCAGACCAAGAATGGGGGAGGGGCAGCGACCAAGGGAGAGGGAGCTTCAAGGGAGGAGGCGCGTTCAGCAGCCAAGAGACCTTGTGGGGTAGTGTGGAAAGGGACTGTTTGATTTGGCAAGAGTTGAGGAATCTCAAGTCTTAGTAAATAGCCTGCTGAGGTGGGAAGCAGGGTCGGTTGGTTGGATAAGGAGGCTGGTGCCGTTTTGGAACGGCTGGGTGAGAAGCTATAGGGAAAGAAACTAGTTGGTGAGAAAAAAACATCTGGAACATCGTAGAGGTCCCAGCTGATGTTGGAGAAAAGCAGTTCCTAGGGGCATCTGTCCACCTAGTTGTGTGAGTTCTCCCCATCCCCCACCCCAGCCCCAAAGAACCTCCAGGTGCTGCATTGCATCCTGAGCCCTCAGCACTGAGCCTTATCTTCGTGCCGTCTGTTTCTTGGGGCACCATAAGAAAGAGCACAGCTTCTCGTTCAAGTATATTCGTGTCAGTCTGGGAGCACAGATCGAATATGAAAGGCCATCGTAATGTTAACATTATATGAGGTATTAACTAAAACTGAGTGTACTGCGGCTCACTTGTCATCTGTGCTTTATATTTTCACAAAGGTAATTGAATACACTTTACCATGATGATTAATGCAAACGCTAGCTTTCTAAATCCTCCTTCGAATGACCTTTTGATAGATACTGCGTCTATAGTACTGCAAGTAAAGAAAAAAGAACTAATATATCTGAGTACCCAGTAGGCACTTTACATGCCATTTAACAAAAAATGCACAATCATTTTTACCTGTTTGAAGCCTAAATGTATAATTGGAATACTTTTGCTTCAAAGCACACTCACACACACCCCTAGCCACCTGCCAGTGGGCTCATTTAGGGAGCTGATTGGAGAATGGTGGTGGTGAGTTTGCCTGGATTTATTTTCATGTGTTTTGTTTTTTATTTTTATTTATTTTTTTTAATTTTTTTTAACGTTTATTTATTTTTGAGACAGAGAGAGACAAAGCATGAATGGGGGAGGGGCAGAGAGAGAGGGAGACACAGAATCGGAAACAGGCTCCAGGCTCTGAGCCATCAGCCCAGAGCCCGACGCGGGGCTCGAACTCGCGGACCGCGAGATCGTGACCTGAGCCGAAGTCGGACGCTTAACCGACTGAGCCACCCAGGCGCCCCGTGTTTTGTTTTTTAATTTTTATTTTTGAGACAGAGACAGCATGAGCAGGGGAGGGGCAAAGAGAGGGGGAGACACAGAATCTGAAGTGGGCTCCAGGCTCTGAGCTGTCAGCACAGAGCCCGACGTGGGGCTCGAACTCATGGAGCGTGAGATCATGACCTGAACTGAAGTTCAGACGCTCAACCGGCTGAGCCACCCAGGCGCCCCTGCCTGGGTTTATTTTGAACTCACTCAAAGCTGCCACCTTACCCAGGAGGTGCTGTGCAAACAGTAGTCTATTGGCCTTTCATGGAATTGTGAGTCCTTCGCCCACCTAGCCCTTGACTTGGTGGGCTGGGGGTGTCTCTCCTAGCACCCCTCACCAACATGTATGTTTGAACATAAGTGGATGGGCTTAGGTTGCAGTCTGTAACCAATAAGAAATTTACTTGGCTGCAGCCCCATCTTCTTAAGAGTGTGCCTGGTTTCCAGGTGTCTTTGCCTCTCCCTATTTCTGAAGTTAAATATCAAGAGTGTGGCTGTGGTTTTTCCTGTGCTGTTGCTACTTCGAGAGGGGAAGATGGTCACATCTTGATTTTATGTAGCAACTTTGTTAAAGTATTAGTTAAACAGTATGCAACTATTGATATACGAGAAATAGATACATATTGTGTCAGCATCCCCATTTTAATTTCTAGAAATACAAATATGGCGTGAAAAGAAAGGTATGCAGTCATCTGTTTTTGCCTTTAAAAGTTAAGATATTATGTAAAACGGAATGTTGTGGGCAATTTTGAAGTTTTAACAAAGATGTAATTGTATCCAAATTTACTTTAAATTTAAAAGATTGTATAATTCTGAGAATAGCTAAGCAAGTAACTTGAAATTGCAGTGTTCGTCTCATGTCTGAGTCTCTCAAAAGACAGGTCTATTTTAAGGAGTTCTCTCTCTCTCTCTCTCTCTCTCTCTCTCTCTCTTTTGTGTCCATGTATGGGTATTGGTATTACGGAAATCAGTAGGGGGAGGGGAACTGGTTTCTCCACAGAACTCTTCATTATTTATCTACTTCATCTGAAATATGTGTGCATTGGAATCAAATTCAGTTAAGTCGATTGGATCATGCCTCTGGTATTTCTGTTGAGTGCAGTTGTAAAAGAGAGTCAATGCCAGCATTCTTGCTGTTAAGGTCCTTGGCCCTACAGTTGGCTCACCGCCCACCCTCAGGAAAGGTCCCTTGTCATACATAGTGGTTTGGGTTCAGAGAAACTGCCATTTGGGGCAGCTAGTTGAGACAGATTCATTAGACTCAATATCTATAAACTAGTTTCTAGCAATTCCCAAATACGGCCATTTTTTTTTTTGCTATTGTTCATTCTCCTATTTGCTCTTCCATACCTTTCATATTTTGTCCCCTCCTCCTCAGATGTGCATAAGCATGGCCCCGCTGTGAGGACATGTGTCATTGTAGGGTCTGTTCTCTCTGTCGGTTTTTCTGTGTCTTCCACATGCACGGTTTCTTCCCATTAGAGAGGTGATCTCTTACTCCCACCTTGTTTGGAGCACTAAGGGACACCCATTGATATAAGCATGCATTCCCGTGGTAACAAGAGATGGGCAGTAGGAAATCTGAAAATGTTAGTCTCAGCTAAAACACAAGGAATCGGGCTGCTTTCGAAGAGTTTGGGGACTCTGAGCTCTTGAAGTTAGATTGAAAGCAGCTTTAGCAAGCATCCTGGGGCATGGGGGCGTGGCACGGGTTGGGAAATTGGGAGCTGGTTGGATTTGACTAGTCCTGACTTTGGGCCAGACTGGGAAAGGGCAGTATCGTCACAGTCTCTGTGTGCATTTCATTGTTTTTCTCTAAATAATAACATCGAATCAGAATCTCCAGGGCTGAAATTATTTACACACACAGTCACAAGAGGTTCTAGGTATGGCCAGGTTAGAGAACCAGAGAGAATCCCTGATACAGTCAAAATGATACAGTAATGCCTATTAGTAATCTCCAAAAAACAATTATCTACCTTCATTGATGGACAGATGAATGCTTAGAGCAGTGTTCCTGGTTGACATTCCTTTGCCCTTCCTTTTTAGCGAGTGATATTGTACTGTCTTTGGTAATCCAAAACTGAAATGCATGGGGGATATAATTTTTCTATAAATGGAGTTAAACATATTTATAGTTTATACATATTTATGATGTCCTAACATTTATATTTTTGTATAGATGTATATGTTTTAGTGCGTGTATCCCCAGCCTTCCCTGTTTGTTATGTTGTCTGACTTTTCCGGAATTGAAAAGCAGACCTTCAGAGTCTATTTTAAAAGGGCCACCACAAATCAGTTTGGAAAGAAAGAAATATTTTTGCAAATGACTTTAGAACAGTTTGTCGCTACGGTATCTGTGTAAATGTTTGGTTATTCACCACACATTATACACTAGAATTGCAGACAGATAAAATTAGATGCAAATAAAATATTTTGAAATGTTTAAAGGGGAAAAAAAAAGGCAGATTTCTGGAACGGGAGGAATTTCAAATCCTAAAAGAGAACGGAGGAAATCACAAAGAAGGCCAGTGCATGTCATTGAAACAAAAAAACTCACCCACACCCAAATGAGTTACCAAAAGCGGATCTTCCACAGAAAACATTGGGAGCCCTTGGTTTAGAGAAGATCGCGGTGATAGGGACAGCCCCGTGTGTGTGGCTAATGTTACATGCGCTCCATTTTTACGTGACCGAAGGGAACATGCAGAACTCATCGTGGTCATTGGCCACATGGACTACGGTGCCGTGTGCTCCTGGCAAAGTAGCATCTGAGACCATGGCACGTCCTGTTACTCGTTATAATCAATTTAGTAGTCAAGGAAAATACTCCTTTGGGGGGAACCCTCAAATTGGCACGAATTAGCAGAAGTCATTCACCCCTCTTTGGTGCACTTCATTTCCTTTCCTTTCTTGTATGAATTCGTGAGACATTTACCGCGTATACATACTCTCTCACCATGTTGATGCTTTTCTGTGCCCGAGGTTATAAATAAAGAGTAAGAGAGGTCAATAATGTGATGACAACGAAAACACATTACTCAGATCTTGGACGTGGTGCTGCCAGCCTTCTCCTATTTGGAAAAACACAGCCTTCCTTTCCTCCCTATAAATTTCTCACTTCCTCAACATCTATTCCTCCAGTTTCTGAATTTCTCAGATCTTCGATTTTGCGTCGCCTCCTGCCCGCTTCATTAGCTGGTTCACTGCCAACTAACACCTCTCTCCCCGAGTAGGCGAAATAAAAGACTCTGGGATTGACCTGGTCCCCTGTTAGCAACCCTGATGAAAAGCTCCACCAGAAAGAGTGAAATCATAGTATAAAATGAAGTTGGGGGGGGGGGATCCATGGGGTGTTATCCTCAGTGACATTCCTGTTGTCCGTAATTGAAGGTGACCGTATGACTATCGAGAAAATGGACAAAATGGAGAGTGCCCCAGGTTAGTAATGAAGGAACTTTGTTTTGTCTCAACTAGGTCACTTGCTTAGCCACGTGGCTAGTCTGTCTCCTTATTTTACCCATGTGATGTCCTCGTTGGGTTGGACGATCTCGCAAATGCCTCAGTGTTCTGTGGTTCCCTCTGAAGGTCATGAAACGAGTGCGCACCGAGCAGATTCAGATGGCAGTGTCCTGCTACCTCAAACGCCGGCAGTATGTGGACTCCGACGGTCCCCTAAAGCAAGGACTGCGGCTGTCACAGACTGCTGAGGAGATGGCAGCCAACCTCACAGGTACCCGCGGGCCCGCTCTGGGGGTGGGCCGGAGTGTCCGTGACAGGTCACACTTCTCCGGAGGCCTCGGTGGGCACCACCAGATGATGGTGCTGGCCTTCAGAGATGCTATCTATCCTTCAAAGCCGCTCCTAGAAGCCTCCTGTCGTAATCCATCCCGCCTCGGAATTCTAAGTGGTTTTGTCTGTATCTGATGTTACGTGCGACCTGTCCTTCTGTGAACTCCTATGCTACAGGACCCGGAGGGCCAGGGTTTCTGTCCCCTTCCTGCACTCATCCCTCTGCTGTAGCCCGGAGCCTGGCCCACGGGAGTCAGGTTTGCTGGGTGAACGAATACTTTGGGACCAGTGGTTGGAAAGATTGGCATCCTAGATATGCTCCTGAAGTTCTAAATTTGGGTGTTGTTTCTTGTTTTGAAATCAGATGCTTTTTCGGGGGGAAAAAAAAAGTGTCTTAAATCTGTCCAGAATAACAAACACTTATTACTTAGCTATGCTGTCAGTTCGGTTTTTATGTAATAGAATTTTCTTCTATTGGATTCGTGTACTGGAGATTTGGGGGGACAAAACGAATGGCTGCAGTGTTTTTAGGGTGACTGTGCCCTTTAACGGCTGCAGGTGGCGTTGGACATTGCAGTGACTTCTCCAGCATAGCCCTGATTCCTCTTATCTGCTCAGACTGGACTCTTCTCTTTTTTATCCTTGCACTTCGTTCTGCTCTCCTGAGTATCTGCCTCCACCTCCTCCTTCCCTTAATGGTTTCAGCCTCCATACTGGTAGCAGCAGCTTCCTCTGCCTCCCTGTATTACCTCCAAAATCATGAAGCCAGACCCCGCGTGCTCTTAGGGTATGTTGCCATTGCTGTAGAGGAAGAATGATGGGATGGTAAAAACCTGAGGGTGTCCTCAAAGGGGTGGTTCCTGACTCCCCCCTGAGACCGTAGAAGTAGCCCAGTCAGGCATTTGCCTTCCTGTTCCTCAGCATCAAATCCACTCCGTTCTTCCTTTCTTTCAGACTGGGTTACCCTCGACAAGAACGGAGCCAGATGACAGACGTGGAATAAATTACTACATGCCTTATTATTTCTAGTAGGATGGCCAGTTTATAGCACCAGAGTAATTCCTTGTAAACTTGCCGTCATAGCCCTTGGTGTGCATTAATCATCTCCGGCTGCCCTGTATTCATTAGAACCTGGGAACAGTAATTCTCTGCAGTTGTTGGTAGAAGATAGAAGCAAGAGCTATTACACAGACTTCCAGAACATGACTCTTAGTTGCCTTAGTTAAGACATAATGGCTTCCTAGGAAGGTCTCTGTTGCCCCTGGAAAACCACCAAGAAATGTGAGAAACATGAAATGTGATCATCCTGAGATTTTGTCCGAGGTCTTTCTGTCAGTTGAGCAATCTGAATAATATGTCTGCATTCAGCAGACCACCTATTGAATATCTGCTATTGCCAGGTGCTGAAAAGTCCTAGAGACAACTAAGGTTAGGATCCTAGCTCCTAAAGAGCTTAACATTGTAGCCAGGAAATGAGGCAGATAAATCACTGATGATAGGAGGGTATGATGTAGTAAGTTCCACAAAGGGAGAATGCCTCAGGTTCTGTAGGGACAAAGACGATGGTCGTCTCAATTAGCCTAGCAGGTCAAGGATTGCTTCCCAAAGGTCTCGTGGTTGGGGCACCTGAGCGGCTCAGTTAAGCATCTGACTCTCGATTTCAGCTCAGGTCATGGTCTCACCGTCATGAGATCAAGCCCCGCATCAGGCTCCACACCAGACATGGAGCCTACTTAAGATTCTCTTTCTCCCTCTTCCTCTGCCCCTCCCCCACTCACATATGTGCACTCGCGCGCGCCCTCTCTCTCTCCCTTAAAAATTAATTAATTAAAAAGAAAAAGGTCTCGTGGTTCCTAGCATACAGTCAGGGGTTAGTAAATAGAAGGGATGAGCTAGGTTTCAAAAGAACCATTAGGAGCTCACCAGGGGCCAGTGGAAGGAGGGTATCTAAATTCTCAAATGTGAATTATGGAAAGATCACTTTGGTGGCTGTGGTGTTTGGGGAAGGCCCAGAGTAGAACCAGGGAAACCACTTACAAGGCCACAGAATAATCCAGTGAAAAGTGAGGACGACCTGAGTTAAGGACGCGGTAACAGTGGAGAGGAGAGGAAAGATTTGAGGAACCTATAGGACTTGGTGACTGGTTAACTCAAGTTGGGAGCCTCATGGAGGACAGAAAGGAGTCCCTTCTTCCATGTGCAGCATAGTCTCCTGCTTTAGTCTGTCGCTCTGAGTTCCAGTGGGGCACACTGACTTCTCATCTGTACCCCCTCCCTGTACATTTTATGTTGTGGCTGCTTCAGACCTGCTGCATTAGATTCCACTCCTACATTATATTCCATCTTCTGAAATCTGTTAATGTTTCATCCAGATTATTAAAGATGGCTCCCGCAGCCCCCAGCCACCTTTCCCAGTGTCTCCCTCCTCCCACAGAAAGGGTGAGGGAATGTCGTTTTTCTTCTTAGAAAGCATAAATTCATAGTATGGAGACTAAGTGCATGTCTACGTACTGAATATTAAGACTCCAGCCTTCTTGGGGTGCCTGGATGGCTCAGTCGGTTTTAAGCATCCGACTTTGGCTCAGGGCATGATGTCGTGGTTCATGGGTTCGAGCCCCGCATCGGGCTCTGTGCTGACAGCTCAGAGCCTGGAGCCTGCTTCCGATTCTGTGTCCCTCACTCTCTGCCCCTCCCCCACTCATGCTCCGTTTCTCTCTCTCTCAAAAATAAATAAACATTAAAAAAAAAAAAAAAGAATTTAAGACTCCAGCCTTCTTGCCCACATTCTGCTGCCCAGAATACCGGTAGCCAGTCACATATCCTTCAGGAAGGTGATTACAGATTCTTCCCTGGTGAATCTGACCTGCCCAAGACAGAAGACCTACAAAGACATTGACATTGGGAAATAGCCCATCCAAGTCATGCTGGGTGATAAGCATACGAAGTTTCTGTCAGCTCTGTAGGGCCTCACTTTCAGCCATGAAAGAACCTACCATACCCTCTGTGAAAAGGAGATGTGGAAAGAAACCGTGAGAAGCAATTTGGATGAAGCAGACAGCTGAGAGAAGAAAACTTCAAAAATACCTTCAATGATCGCCTCGAAACAAGAAGAGAATGCTACTTTTTTTTTTTTTTAATTTTCTTTTCAACGTTTATTTATTTTTGGGACAGAGAGAGACAGAGCATGAACAGGGGAGGGGCAGAGAGAGAGGGAGACACAGAATCGGAAACAGGCTCCAGGCTCTGAGCCATCAGCCCAGAGCCCGACGCGGGGCTCGAACTCACGGACCGCGAGATCGTGACCTGGCTGAAGTCGGACGCTTCACCGACTGCGCCACCCAGGCGCCCCGAGAATGCTACTTTTAAAAAACAAAGAACATTCAGAGAACAGCAAGAAATTTGGTAAATTTAACTACAGGGTGGTAAAAATAAAAAATCAGTAGGAAGGCTGAAAGTTGAGGAAACGAGATCTAACCTTGAAATCGCAGGGTTTCCAGGGGTGCATAGCTGGCTCAGTTGGTACAGCATGTGACTCTTGATCTCGGGGTCGTTCGTTTGAGCCCCACATTGGGCCTGGTGCTTACTTAAAAGGAGGGGGGGTGGAAGAAGAAGGAAATAGGGGTCCCAGAAAGGAAACGGAATCACAAAATTTCTCAGAACCAAGAGACATGAGGGGGCACCTGGGTGGCTCAGTCGGTTAAGTGTCTGACTTTGGCTCAGATCATAATCTCACAGTTCAAGCCCCGCATCGGGCTCTCTTGTAGGATGTCAGAACATGGGGTCAGATGCTTTCAGATAGGTCTCTCATGAATTTATGGACCTGTCCTCTCACTCACCTTTCTCTGTGCTTTATACCTTTTCATTCCTCCACTGTCATTTTATTTTGGGTATCAGGAAGGAGAGGAGATACATAGGTGTCATCACTTGGTCATATTTAACCAGAAGTCCCAGCATACTTTGAAAACGTACTGAAATGTCCATTGCTACTGATGCGTACTCAACACCCTCGTCCATCCATCCTGCCACATATTGGATTAATAATTGTGTTTCCCATCCCCATCTCACGTATCTTTTCCGCCTTAGTCCAATCCGAATCCGGTTGTGCCAACATCGTGTCCGCAGCCCCTTGCCAGGCAGAGCCCCAGCAATATGAAGTACAGTTTGGACGACTACGGAATTTTCTCACTGGTAAGTACTCAGCACTAGGAACTACTACTTATCAAGAAAGAATCATGCAAATTTCCCTCAGAACCTAGTATATTGCAGGTATGGTGTACATAGTAGAGATTCCAAGGTGGTTTCGCACAGCCCTTGTACTCAGTATTACAAGCTATTGGAATTCGTGAGAGACTTAAATCGCAAGGTTAAAGTGTGCAGGAACCAGGGCTCCAGATGTTTTGTTCACCGTTTTATCTGTGGCTGTCAGCAGAGTGACTAGAACTTGGGTTGAAACAGTGAAAGCTCAATCAGCCGTGTAGAGAAACATACTTAAATGTAGAGAATTTGAAATGTACATTGAAATTGCTGTTACTAATATAGCACATCTCAGGATGAGCTTTTCCCTTTATTTCCCCAAATGCAAGGCTGTTGTTCTCATGAATCAGCAAGATAAAAAATTAGAAGTAATTTAGACCATTCATGGGTGGTGTAATGACCACTAGAATGCAAAATCAGTAGATACGAGTTCCAATCAGTTCTGTTAACTCCCTGTATGACTTTTTAAATTAATCACTTAAAAAAAAAAATGGAGTTGCTTGGCCTCTCTGGGGCTCTGGTTTCCTTGTATTTGAAATAGAAAAGGTGATTCAAGGGGCGCCTGGGTGGCTCAGTCGGTTAAGTGTCCGACTTCGACTCAGGTCATGATCTCACAGTTCGTGGGTTCGAGCCCTGCGCCGGGCTCTGTGCTGACAGCTCAGAGCCTGGAGCCTGCTTTGGACTCTGTGTCTCCCTCTCTCTCTGCTCCTCCCTGACTCATGCTCTCGCTCTCTCTCTCTCGCTCTTTCAAAAATAAATAAACATTAAAAAAAAAATTTTTTTTTAAGAAAAAGCGATTCAAAGGTATAACTAAGTGTTCTCATCCATCCAGTCCTAAGATGACTGATTATACTTTTAATGTTGGAAAGATTATTGCAGTGAGGGAGACCAGCTTGATTCAGGTTATTAATCAAACTTTCTTGAGTACTTTCTTCATACACGATACCTTGAAGTAAAAGAAATACAAAACTCTCTGCCCTCAAAGGATTGAGAGTAACTGACAGATAAAATGGTTAATAGTAAATTGTAGTTAAAACTCTTTGAGATTGTTTTCTTTTTTTTTTATTTGAAAAATCCTCAATAATAATCTTTAATGGTAAAGATGCATCTAATGCAATCAGTTATAAACCAAAATAATACATCTAGTTTTATTTCACTTAGGGTTGTCCTGATTTTACTTGACCTCTAATAGTTTGTATTTTAAAGGAGAGATTCCATATTTCCTGTGTCCTGCGGTTGGGGAAAATGGCCAAAATGTTACAGGGAATAAACGTTACAAAATAAAACCTTAGAGAGGGTTATCTTATCAGCCTCAGAGTTGTTGATTGATGGAATTCAGAAGTGTAGTCTTTTAAATGGTTACAAAAATGAAAAAATCATGAAACTTAAAGGTTTAGTAAAAAGAGTCTATTAAGTTTAAACTGAAAAGAAAGATATTCCATTAAGATCCTCATATCATATGAATGTTAAATATCTCAGAACAATGATCAGCTGCTCTCCATCTCCAGTAAGGATTAAAAAAAAAAAAATTGAATTTATAAGAAGGATTTCATTCAGAGGTAAGCAAGAACTTGGAGATAATTTAATCATTGGCATTCGCTTTGGAGGCTTAAAGCAGTATTTCAAAATGTTTAATTCAGTCTTTAGAAAGACTCTGTTTTTAAAATAGGGCTCTATTTCTCTCTCCACGATAGATTTGTCTCTCTGTGCTATTGGTGGGGAAGCTGGTTTGGAAAGGAATGCCTAACTCTTCTCAGCCTTTCTCTTTGATCCATTCAGCCGATATTTATGTTAAGCAGTGGTATTGCAATAGAGAGTATTGATGTGGAGCCCACTGTCTAATGAGGGAGACAGACAAAAGCATAAAGCCCCAATGTATCATTACAATAGTGATGCCTTCCCTGTACTCACCCCGTGAGATGACTCTTGTCATAGATACGACTTATTTCCGTTATGCATGACACTCGTGACTGTAGTGATACTGTATAGATTTTTGTTTACGTTTTTAAATCAATGAAGCATAGATATGATAGGCTCATTGGAATAATTTTATGATACAGAACTGTGGTTACTTCTTGCAATGGAGAATTATTAATACATTTAATTGCTCACTGATGTGATTTACCCTGGTGCAACGTTTTCTGCTTCAATTTATTTCTTTGGGCTCTTGATGTTATTCTTAAATATTTGCGGGGCGCCTGGGTGGCTCAGTCGGTTGAGTGTCCGACTTTGGCTCAGGTCATGATCTCATAGTTCATGAGTTCGAGCCCCGCGTCAGGCTCTGTGCTGACAGCCAGTTCAGAGCCTGGAGCCTGCTTCAGATTCTGTGTCTCCCTCTCTCTCTGCTCCTCCCCTGCTTACATGCTGTCTCTCTCTCAAAAATAAAGATTAAAAAAATATATATATACCTGCTCAAACTCTTAACATGGAGTAAATGTTAACTCCTTGTATTTGAGGATGCTGGTTTTTTCCTAATATGTGGTATCTTCTTTATTCTCATCTCATAATTTCCTTCAGCCAGAACTTTACATTGCAGTAAATTGTAATCTATTAACCCTCTCCTTTGTCTTGTTTCAAAACTGAGGAAGTTGTCTGTTATTTTACCTATAATTCCTTAATCCACTGGGCACAGGTTATTTGGAGGGGGTGAATATATGTTTTGTCGTGTGTTTTTACAGACTGCTTTTCCTGAGACATTTTTGCATACCCTCAGGCCTCTGAAGAGTAGTCAACCAAGTCAAATGAACAAGTGTTTCCTGAGCACCGAAATAAAGTATAAGATATAGTAATTAATCTAAGTAAGAAGCAATCCTAACCACAGCAGTCTAAAACTAAAAGTTTTTAAATAAAGTTCAAATATAGTGGAAGAATTTTCACAAGCCAGTGTGAAATCAGTGTTGAATTTTGTACGTCTAGGAATCGCATTCTGAAAGAAAGGTGAACGTTGGTTGGGGTAGTCGAGAAGGCCTTCCTGAGTAGGGGGTAGAATTTAAGTTAGCATTTGGAAGGTGGGTTGGATTTCAGTAAACGGTGGAAGAGGAGGAGGAGGAGGAGGAGGATTCGGGGTATGGGGAAAAGATAGGAACAAGAGGGTAGAGATGGCAATTTTCCCCTCTAGGAGCAGGGAGAAAACGAGCTTGGTTGAGAACAGGGCTTTCCGATTGCAGAGAAAGCCAGACACCCTGGAGCCAGGCTGAGGAGAGACCTGACCACTGGGCCTGGAAGCGTGAGCCTCTTCCCGTCTCCTGGCGGAGACAACCAACAGGAATGTTAGTCTAAAGGCAGTTGGTGACAGGGTTTGCAAGTGGGATGGCACAGAGGCCAGCCTGAAGTCCGCTATAGTACTTGCTTGCGAAGGGAGGTGAGTAAGGACCAGAACTCAGCGGAGGTGTGAAAATGGAAAACAGCGTCTGGATCTCATAATTAAATTTCCAAGGTAGACTCTCCAAGGCTCAAGATCAAAGGAGGATGACTCGGGCTCTGTGACAAACCGGGGCTTAAGCTACATTGGGCAGAAAGAAGTCAGGTTGTGCCTTGCACATCATGATGATGGTGGCCTCCCACGGTATAGACTGCAGTAGGAAACCGAGGCTAGTATTTAAGAGAAGATACAGACTCGTGATAAAGAACTCAGCATCAGCTTCACGGAGGTGCAAATTCCAGTTTTAGGAGATGATAAATCTCGAAGATAGTAGGAAAATAAGAGCCTCTCAGGCTGGAGCACCCGGAGTGTTTTTTTCCTCCGTAAGTTATCTGTGGGCGAGAGATTCTGGGAGCTCACCTACTGCTGTGGGCCCTTTTCTTCAGGAGGCACAGTAGGAAGAGCAGAGGCTTTGGAACCATTCGGTCCGGGTGTGAATCTGGGGCCAGCCGTGACCCTTAGACACAATGACGGATGTCAGGTGCCTGGGTCACCGGAAACACACACTCCGTGTTCACTCCTGAAAGTGAAATGAGCATTTGAGGAACACGAGGGAGAAGCGGAGCCCAGGAGAGAGGGACGTGAGAAGTCAAGCTGGGCAGTGCGGTGTTTCAGAGTAGAGGCCGGGGTGCCACGTAGTGGGGTCAGACCACACAGAGACAGGCAGGAGGACACGGACTGACAAGCTCGGTTTTCACTTAACCTCGTGTCCTTTTCACTGCTGATTTCTGCAAACTCCATGAAAAGCTTCCTCTTCTTTCCCACCAGAGGAGTGTGGCTCCAAGTAGGCATTTGTTACGTAGCCGGCGGGTAGATGGATGGGAGGAAAGAAAATCATGCTTTTCGGAGGACATGCTCCTTTTGAAATTAGAAAAAATCTATTTTAAGTGGGTCCCCTTTGAGCAGAATCCAAAGTGTGTGTTATGATTGCAAGGAAACAAGATTGATCGTGTGGGTCTCACCTTGTTCCACATAATGAGTATGTTGATCAAAATGTTATTTTATACCTGACCGGTTCTCTTCAGACAAGAGAGAACAGCTAAGCAATTTTGAAACTGAGCTGAAACAGCAGTGAATTTCAGTCAGTTTTGAAGCAGTGCAGCCCTGTTTCTTGCTGGCTAGGTTCTTTCTATAAACTTATTAAACTAAAATGCCTCTCATTTTGAAAAGGAAGCCTGAAACTAAGATTTTAAGAAATTGCAAACAATTCTTCATCCCCATCGTATATTGGAAGTCCAATTGATAAGGATTGAGCTGTTTTGGTTTTGGTTTTTTCATTAGTATTTTGGGGAAAAAAATTTTCCAGAGCTCTTCTAAAGAACTACAGCATTTAGGGGCACCTGGGTGGCTTAGTTGGTTAAGTGTCTGGCTTCGGCTCAGGTCATGATCCACAGTTTGTGGGTTCGAGCCCCGCGTCGGGCTCTGTGCTGACAGCTCAGAGCCTGGAGCCTGCTTTGGATTCTGTGTCTCCTGCGCTCTCTGCCCCTCTCCCGCTCACGCTCGCTTGCTCTCTCGAAAGTAAATAGACCTACAAGAATTAAAAAAAAATTACAGCTTCTAAAGAAAAAATTTTGGGGAGCTCTTCTAAGGAATTACAGCATTTACAGAAGAAGCATTTAAAGAATTGGGGTGCCTGGGTGGCTCAGTCGGTTAGGCATCCGACTTCAGCTCAGGTCATGATATCACAGTTCGTGAGTTCAGGGCCCCACGCCGAGCTCTGTGCTGACAGCTCAGAGCCTGGAGCCTGCTTCGGATTGTGTGTGTGTCTCTCTCTGTCTCTCTCTGCTCCTCCCCCTCTCCTGCTCTGTCTCTTTCAGTGTCTCAAAAATGAATAAACATTAAAAAAAAAAAAAAAGATTTAAAGACCAAAGTCTGTATCTGGGCCCTCCATAGAAACACAACTGATAGGGTATATGTGCAGAGAGATACATTTCAAGGAGTCAGTGCATGCAGTTCTGGAGGCTAGTAAGTCCAAAACCACAGAACCGGCAGGCAGGCTGGATACCCTGGGAAGCGTTGCAGTTCAAATAGAAAGAATTCCCTCTTCCGGGGAGATCAATCTTTGTTCTTATAAGGCCTTCAATTGATTGGACGAGGCTCACCCACAGTATGGAGGATAATCTGCTCTACTCAAAGTCTACTGACTTAAACGTTAGTCGCGTCTACAAAACAAAATACCTTCACAGAACCATCCAGAATAATGTTTAACTAAGTATCTGGGCATTATGACCGAGCCAAGTTGACACGAAATTCACCACCACAAGTCCACCCCCTGTCAACTTGGCACCCGTACCCATCTCCTGAAAGCGTACTTACTCTCCAAATAAAGATTATCAACAAGGTCATTATTCCACCTATCATGATACAGCTCTCCTGAGGACAATGAAGAATGCACTAATCCTTCCCCCAGAAGAAAAAACAAAGTCCTTAGGTGATTTACTCTTTTCCTTGATATCCTGAAACTTAAATACTATGGCATAAAGTTAACGATACTTAAATACTCTGATACAAAATCAGAGTAACTTGTGTACATGATAAGGGACTAAGAGAGGAAAGAAAACAAAGATATTTGCCTATAGGTAGATATACACACGCACACATATTCACAACAAAATAGGGAGGGTTACATAAATAATCTTCATTTCTGTAACTGGTCACATATTTCGTTCTTGGTGGGTAACTACCTTCTTCTACCCGTTCTGTATTTTCTTTCCCTTCGGCGAACCCCTCAGCTGGTCCTGGGTCTTTACCGGATGGGATGACCCATACCTTCATTTCTGAAGAGCCTTGGGCCATTACTGGACCTGCCTCGGTCAGAGTCTTGTAGTTTTCCGTCACCCTTAACCAAGGGACAGAATGAGACCAAGAGATGCCCTAAGGGATCTCCTGTAGTCCAGACATACCCTTCCTTTCCTCCACTGTGGAGTGACCGTCCAGCGTCCCCTTGGTAGTCAGGATCAGTCGGCCCAGCCAGCACTGCAACTCCCTTCTTTGCCTGCTGGAGACAGGAGGAGCCCAGAGCGGCCTGCTGACAGTCGCAATTTCAGTTCATTTTCTAAACACGACTTGCAGTAGGGACGCCTTTATTCTAAACTGTACGTATTGTACAATTAATTCACCTGCGATAAAGTGAAGTAGGGTGTTGGGTAGAGATACCATGCTGGTATCATTTATCATCAAATTAGGGAGGCAGGATTCTCCGATGTTCCTGATTTTGAGCCATGAATGGATTCTTTTTCACGAAGGGGAAAAAAAGATGCTGGCAGAAGCAGCAAATGCTGACTTAAAGCATTTGGGTACTTGTTTGTTGATGTGCAAACATTACACTAGACATAAAACCCTTATGGCTGCCGTATTTCCGAATGAAACCGAAACTCACAAATCAAGTGCAAGCAAAACCACAAAAGCATTAAAGTTCACATTAACAGCAAGTGAGTATATCGGATGGATTTTGCCGGAACTAACTTGCCGCTCCAGGTGGAGTTGGGGACGGTGCTGCTGGCTGTGACACAGGCTAGTCTGCACTCAGCTTCCCGGAGGCCCTTGCACCCCACGTAAGGTCCTGCCACCCCCACTGGCCTCTGGCTGAACGACCTTTGTGCCTTCATGGCTCACTCTGCCCTCACTTAACGTAGGTGTCAGATACACCTCAGGGCTTTTCTCTTTCGCCTGTGACATTTAAAGCCGGACGCTTTTTTGAACATCCTTTGTCACGTAGCTTCCCGATGTTAAAGTCTCAAATTAGTAAATGGTTTAGCCTTAATGACGTGAAAATGTCTCATCTGTAAATTATCACTGCAAAAGAGAAGTTTTATTTTGTAGTCAACATAATCAAAATGATTACACTGGCAGATATGGGACAACAAGGGATGGATGTTGTCATCTTAGTGTTGGGGCGTGCCAGCCTGGGTAGGGAGACACGGTAATGAACTCACAAAAATAAGTACTCCCTGATATCACTTTAGGCGACGGCTGCCAGAAGTAATCACAAAATTGAATCGAGCACTAAAATCGCATGTCAGTACTTGCTTAATGGCCATCCAGACCATTCTGAATACACTTGTGTTCGGGTTTTTTTGTTTTTTGTTTTTTTAATCATCATCGAGTTAAAAAGTGTCTGTGAAGAACTCACAGTCTCCCAAGAATATATCTAAGGACCCTCAGAGGTCCGCGCTCCCCAGTTTGAGAAACAGATATTGAAGGGAAAGTACTGAACCTCGAAGACCTGGGCACAAGCCCCTGAAGTGTCGTGAGGACTTAGGCAAGTCACTTAACCTCTCTGGGCATCAAAGTCCCGATCTGTGGCCGACTTCAGACCCAGTTTTGCTGGACTTCAGAGTCCCTGCTCTTCCTTCTTCAGTCAAAAGGCTTTGAATTTGCACAATTCCACGTTGGGCTTCCGTTTCAATCGATAGTCCTGACCAGAAAGGGTTCTGGGATGGTGGGCTCCCCGGGAGAGTCCCATTATCCCTTGAAATTATACTGATTTTAAAGCCCTCGTTTTTTGTTTTTTGTTTTTTGTTTTTCATTGTAGATTCTGATTCCCAGCATAGCCACGAAGTGATGCCTCTCCTCTATCCTCTCTTTGTCTACCTCCATCTCAACCTGGTCCAGAACAGTCCTAAGAGCACAGTGGAAAGTTTTTACAGCCGCTTCCATGGGATGTTTCTGCAGAACGCTAGCCAGAAGGATGTCATTGAGCAGCTACAGACCACTCAAACCATCCAGGACATCCTGTCTAACTTCAAGCTTCGAGCATTCCTAGATAACAAGTACGTGGTCCGTCTCCAGGAAGACAGCTACAACTACCTGATCCGCTACCTCCAAAGCGACAACAACACCGCCCTGTGCAAAGTCCTCACCTTGCATATCCATCTTGACGTGCAGCCTGCCAAGACAACGGATTACCAGCTCTACGCCAGCGGCGGCTCCTCCCGGAGCGAGGGCAATGGCTTAGAGCCCGCCGACATGCCCGCCCCTCTCCTGCAGAACGAGGCTGCCCTGGAGGTCTTGCAGGAGAGCATTAAGCGCGTCAAGGACGGCCCTCCCTCCCTCACCACCATCTGTTTCTATGCCTTCTATAACACAGAGCAGCTGCTGAACACTGCGGAAATCTCCCCAGACAGCAAGCTGCTTGCTGCGGGGTTTGACAACTCCTGTATAAAACTGTGGAGTTTACGATCCCGGAAGTTAAAGTCAGAACCCCATCAAGTAGACGTGTCCCGCATCCACTTGGCTTGTGACATTCTGGAGGAGGAGGTATGAGTATCAGTTTTCTTGCCTACACCTGCCTTACTAATTTGCTTAGAGTTCTTACCAAACATGACAGATCTTGTGGAGAATGGACTTTGTTATTTCCTTCACCGTATAGCCGCAGCGAGACTAATGCCCATGTAACCTGTAGCCATTGAATTCCTGCTCATGCCTAACCTTGGAAGACATGAAAACTATTCTTAACAACATTAACTGAACATCATTAATGACCGGTCAGTGTTTGTTACTGTCTGAATGTGGATAACATTGCTAAGCCTAATTAAAGACCTTTAGGTAATATCGAGATTTACAGTGAGTGTGGGTGTGGGCGTGTGTGGTGGCGACAGCGGTGGCGGCCAGGGTGTACGTTCGTGCAAACATAAACATTGAGAAGTAGGATTGCTGGGGCAGAGGGCCTGCACTTTAAATTATGATAAATATTCTCATTTTCCGGTCACATCAACAGTAAATGAGAACTCTGGTCTCCCTTCACCCTCACCAACACTGGGTGTTACTGGCCTTCCTGAGGCCAGTGCACGTCCTCTGGCTTCATGTCCCCCGGGGCGTTCCCAAACCCCATTTTGAAAAGTACATAGGAAGTGTAGTTGACATTTCACCCATCAGTCGGGGTAATGATCTTGTTCGGTTTGTTTAGGGATGCTTACCGAAAAGGCAGGCCGAGTGGCCCGAGTTTCAAGTCCCTGAGAGTTACTGTCTTAGAAAAAACGTGGGCAAAGAGAGAAATTTCATAGAGTTCGCCTTCCCTGAAAGTGGCCCCACAGCAGCTGGGGGCTAGAATACTTTTGTCATCTCACCACTGAAATTCAGGGAGCTGTGGCTCAAGTTAGTTTCGATGGAAAATTCTTTGCATGGGGTTGAACAATTAAGGAGTTTAGAAAAGTTCAACTTAATTTCCATAGGTGATAAGGATATCAAGAATACTGGATGCACAAAATAAGCCCTTTTTTCCAATTCTTAAATTTTTTTTTTCAACGTTTATTTTATTTTGGGGACAGAGAGAGACAGAGCATGAACGGGGGAGGGGCAGAGAGAGAGGGAGACACAGAATCGGAAACAGGCTCCAGGCTCTGAGCCATCAGCCCAGAGCCCGACGCGGGGCTCGAACTCACAGACCGCGAGATCGTGACCCGGCTGAAGTCGGACGCTTAACCGACTGCGCCACCCAGGCGCCCCCCTTTTTTCCAATTCTTGTTTTCTTAGTCAACTTCCAGTTAGTATGATCTTTGAATTTTTGTTTCTTGTGACTGAGATGATACAGAGGAGTTTGTGGTGATGAGTAAAAGGTTTAAATTCCAATACACACCCTTTGATTTCTAGAATCTTACAGGACCCTCCAAAATATCTTTTTAACTTTATTTATTTATTTTGAGAGAGAGAGTACGAGTGAGGGAGGGTCAGAGAGAGAGAGAAAGGAAGAATCCCAAGCAGGCTCTACACTGTCAGAGCAGAGCCCAGTGCGGGGCTCGATCCCCCAACCATGAGATCATGACCTGAACTGAAACCAAGAGTCAGACACTCAACCAACTGAGCCACCAAGGCACCCCCGAGATATTTTTTATTGCTCATGTATTTGAATGTTTAGATTTCTTTTCCTAGGAGACAATTCTAGCCTGTCGAACGTTCTTCACATACAACTGAAGGTTGCTGCCTTCATTGAGTTACAGCCTTCTGTAAATACAAGGAGAGAAATTATTCCTGCTGACCTTATCAGCTTGATGATGTTGTTTGGAGATTATTCTAGGCATTACAAGTTAACATAAAGGAAGATAGCAAAGAGAAAGGTAAATACGAAGAAGGAAAGAACATTAGGTTCAAAAAATGTTGTAAGATTCTACCGTGGCTACCACTGAGAATTAGCTTTGTGACCTATTCTGTAGAGATTTCCAGGCTTTGGAAGGCGTGCATTTGAAGACCCAGAAGCGAAGAATAACATGATGATTTCCAGGAAGCGATAGAAATTAAATGTAGCTACCGTTGGGAGTGGTAAGACAGGAAGCAGTATGGCGCCACAGGCTGCGTGAGGGATTATGGTGGCCTGAGCAAGGGGAGTGGCGGCAGGAAGGGAGCACAGTGGACAGGTTAGATGAGAGCTCCAGCATTGGACTCAGTGGAGGGGCTGGAGGGAAAGGAAGAGTCGAGGAGGACATCTGTGTCTCAGACTTGACCACCTGGGTGGATGGTGGGACATGCCATTCAACTCAGATGAAGTGATGTCAGGGGAGCGCTTGTTTTGTTTAGGTATCTTCCTGATTTCTTCGCCATTATCCACATGGAAAGTACCATAGATTCTGCTCCAGTATGAAGGCACTGCTTTCCTTGTGAACAAACTTTCTTTTACCTTTAGAACTAAAGTTGAGATCGTCCCATTAGGTTGTGAGGGGTTTCCTGTTTGGGATTTCTACCCCCCCCCCACCCATTTTGTCATAGCAGTTTAGGGAAGTTTTTGTTGTTATGGTGGGGAGGGGGGTTGTTTTTGGTTTTTTGGTTTCTGACAAGGAACATTTTGGGGGGAAGCAAGGTATAAATCAGTTCTGATAGTTTTTAATGTTTCTTCAATGAGAACTTGGACTTCCTTGTAGAATTTACAGCTAAAATAGAAACTCTTAAAAATTTTTTTTAATGTTTATTTTTGAGAGAGAGAGAGAGAGACAGAGTGCAAGTGGGGGAGGGGCAGAGAGAGAGAGAGAGAGAGAGGGAGACATGGGATACGAAGCAGGCTCCAAGCTCTGAGCTGTCAGCCCAGAGCCCGACATGGGGCTCAAACTCACGAACCACAAGATCATGACCTGAGCCGAAGTCAGATGCTTACCCGACTGAGCCACCCAGGCACCCCTAAAATAGAAACTCTTTTTTTTTTCTCACATTGATTTATGTTTGAGAGACAGAGTGAGACAGTGCACGAGTGGGGGAGGGGCAGAGAGAGAAGGAGATACGGAATCTGAAGGAGGCTCCAGGCTCTGAGCTGTCAGCACAGAGCCTGACGCGGGGCTCGAACCCACAAACCGTGAGATCATGACCTGAGCTGAAGTCGGACACTCAACTGACTGAGCCACCCAGGTGCCCCGAAAATAGAAACTCTGAATGCAAAGATCACAAACTCACATGCTTGTAGAAGCCAAGCAGGTAAAAGTAAATGGTAAAGCTACCTGGATCAAAGAGCTGGTAGGAAGTAGGAAAGGACACGAAAACCCAATCAAAACTCCACTTTGCAACCTCTGCCTTAATCTTTGTGAAGCAACAGCCATTGCACAAATTAGTGGATAAAATGTTTTAATAGTAGGCATTTAAAATATTGATCAGACCCAGCAATTCCATTTCCAGATATATGCCCAAGAGAATTGAAAAGACATGTCCACACAAAAATTTGTACATGTTCAAAAAAAAATTTGTACATGTTCAAAAAATTGCACATGTTCATAATATCATTATTCATAATTGCCCCAAAGTGTGAACAGCCCAAATGTCAATCAGCAGATTAATAGATACACAAAATGTGGTGTATCTGTGTGATGGAATACTGTTCAGCCATAAAAAGTTATAAAGATACATATGAGACCGGCTGTAATGTAGATGAGCCTTGTAAATAAACATTTTGCTACGTAAAAGAAGCCAGCCACAAAGGACCACATGCTATAGGATTTCATTATAGGAAATATCCAGAATAGGCATATCCGTAGAAACAAAGTAGACTGTTTCCCCAGGCCAGAGGCTGGGGACAGGGAACTGGGCAACGATTGCTAATGGGGAAAGGGGTTCTTTTTTGAGGTGATGAAAATGTTCTGTACTAGGTAAGTGGTCATCGTTGCACAGTTCTGTGAGTATACTAAAAGCCATCGAGTTATGCCGTAAAAAAAAAAATTTTTTTTTAATGCTTATTTTTTGAGACTGAGAGCGTTAGCAGGGGAGGGACAGGGAGAGAGGGAGACGCAGAATCCAAAGTGGGCTCCGGGCTCTGAGCCGTCAGCACAGAGCCCGACGTGGGGCTCAAACCCTTGAACCACAAGATGACGACCTGAGCTGAAATGGGACACGTCACCAACTGAGCCACCCAGGTGGCCCGAGTTACACTTTTTAAAGAGAGTGAATTTTAGAGTATGTGAATTCTGTCTCAGTTTTAAAAAATCAGAAAACAAAAGCTCCAATGAGGGCCTAAAATGTTCTCTATTAAGTCAAGTAAAACTGGATTTACGGCACTACCCCGATATCTTCAACTTGGAAGATATTCTGGATTCACCTCTGAAAAGCTGTTAACCGGCACGGCAGTGCCCTTCTTCCCAAAGGTAGCAGCGGGGGCCCCCCCCCCCCCCGCCTCCGGTGGGAGGCCCTGCATCCTCTAAGTTAGCAGTGAGGTCCAGCGTTTACCCTTGTTGATTGGTAACTATGTCTTTTTAATATTGGAGCAACATAGCCAAACCACAGATACCAGATCAAGGATTTTCTCTGTGTTTCAGGTATGTGTACACGATCACCCTCATCCCTGCCAGCCTCCCACCCTCCTAGCAGCCCTGCACTACAGCGTCAGTCCACGCACTGTCTAGCGAGCCTTGCCCCAGTCCAGCAGTCTTTCAGTCTGAAAAGGAAAGCAGTCAGTGTTGTGAATGACACTCAGTTCTGTGATTTGTGTATACAATGGTCGTTTAGGTCTTTGCCGGCCTGTAAGAGTGTAACGTGAGCCTTGTTTGTACTTTTCATTTTTCTAGTAGCCACATGAAAAAAAGTAAAAGGGAAGAGTCAAATTAATAATGTATCTTATTTAATCCAGTGTGGCTAAAGCATTATCATTTCAACATGTAAGCAATATTAAAAAAATTATTACCGAAATCTGTTATATTCTCCTTTTTTGTCCTAAGTCTTGGAAGTCTGGTGTGTTTTACGCTTACAGCAACGTGTTCAGCTCCACGAGCCGAGAGCCGCCTTCTCTCGCTCCCAAGTCTTACCCAACTCCCAAGCCCGCCATATTTAATCTCTTCCAGTTCCATTGGCACCTGATGATGGGAGAACAGCCCAAGGCCAAATCTCAGACCCCAAAGAGTACCCTTGAGCTAAGAAAGTCTGGAGTGTGAGCTGAGGCACATCGAACCTCCTAGTCCAGGAGCAGACATCCGTAAGAAGTCCGAGATTTGTAGGGCCTCCATGACCTAAAGCAGGGTTTAGCAAACTATGGCACAGGGGTACGAAACACAATACTCGAAGACCTTTTTATGCTTCCTTTTCTTATTTTTAAATTTCTTACGCGTGTTTTATAATGCACACGGTGTCATCCAGTATTACACGAATACACTTGACAAATTAAAAATTCCCGTTTGGGACCAATGCGCATTTGCTGTCGGTTCAGCCGATTGTAGGGAGTTTGGGGTTTTGTCCTGTTGGCACGAAAGGAAGGAGAGGGAGAATTGGGCTGGGCATGTGTGAATCAGCTGCTTGTTCAGAGTTTCGGCTTGACTATGCTGAGGCCCTTGTGGGACTGGGTTGAGCCACAGAAGAAAATGTGGCTGGGTTATTTTAAGCTGTGGTCCTGGCATAGGGCTGATAGTGATAGCCAGCAGGAATGCTCTGGTTTCCCCATCTCTTGGTCTATACAGTCAACCAGGCACTTTTCCGTGTGCTCGGGACAGTCGTCAAGACCCCTGGAAGTGCCAGCTTGATTTTAGGGTCCCCACCTAGGAGGCGAAGACCCAATTCCCTAACTTCTTGCTCCCAATGAAGACCACTTAAGCCTCAGAGATGGTAACGTGCCCTGTGGATTACCTTCAAAGGGTCTCTGTGTAATTCATCCGGGGTCGTTTTTTGCTCCCACAGTTCTTATATAAACTTTCTGGTGTACAGCAATGAGTCATTCTTGAAATTTTAAAGTGTTGTTGTAACCTCTTTTGAAAGGAAAATTACTAGTGTTCTTGGTAACGCTCGGTAGAACGTTGGGCTCCCGAATGCTTATGTATTTTTAATGTTGAATGTCTGGAATAGCCATTTTGAATATTCATGGACGTCAGTATTTATTTTCTCTTACCTTTTCCTCAAATATGTACACATTGAAGGCATTTGTCTTATTTTGATTTTCATCGTGTTCAAATGGAAATGAGAAAGATGCCCTTTTCCTGTACCAGAACCTAAGGCTCGTAGACCTTTTTATTTCTAAGGCAGCAAAGCCAGTTGGTTCAAAAATCTTCTTACTCCCCGTTCACCTGGGGTTTAATTAAAACCCGTGTTAATTTATGAATTCCTGGACCGAGAGCTGTAGTGCTAAGCAAGGTGCTTGTCTACGAGAGAATGAAGGGAACCGGGATTTTGAACAGAGATAGTGTCCTTGGGGGGAAGAGGGTGAGGAAGGGGACTTCCCTCAGTACTATGAGCGGCTATCTTCTTTTCTGTCCCCACACACAGGAATTTATTTCCAAGAATCCCATGAGTCTCTTGGCTTTGTTTAAAGCTATTCTAAACCCATGCTTTGTTTGGGAAAATGTTTGAGACCCTCCAGAAAGTCTCAGTTTAACATTTCATCTTAGGGGGGGCGCCTGGGTGGCTCAGTCAGTTAAGCATCTGACTTCAGCTCAGGTCATGATCTCCTGGTTCGTGAGTTCAAGCCCCGCGTCGGGCTCTGTGCGGACAGCTCAGCTCGGAGCCTGGAGCCTGCTTCAGATTCTGTGTATCCCTCTCTCTCTGCCCATCTCTCCTCTCTCTCTTTCTGTCTCTCTCTTTCTCTCAAAAATAAATACACATCAAAAAAAAAATCCCATCTAGGGACACCTGGGTGGCTCAATTAGTTGAGCATCTGACTCTTGATTTCAGCTCAGGTCATGATCCCAGGGTCGTGGGATCCAGCCCCGAGTTGGGCTCCGTGCTCAGCATGGATTTCTCTCTCTCTCTCTTTCAAAAAAAAAAAAAGAAAGAAAGAAAGAAGAAGAAGAAGAAGAAGAACAAAAAAACCCTTCATCTTTATTTCTTTTTGGACACCAGCAGTTTATGCCTGGTCGCAAGGTGTGAGCGTCGTTTATTGGTAACCTCACCTTTCTGGTTTACTATTCGTTCTGATGTGTCTAGGCTTTATTGTGACAGCCCCTACGGTGGTTTTGTATTAATTTCGAATCAAGACCACGTCTGCCTTCGTCATTGACCCCAGTCATGGCCAGGAATTTTCTTAGTAGGGTAGAAACAGGGAGCGATGTGGTTTATAAAGCAGCTAAAACTGACCGATGAAGACCTGCCCACAGAAGAAAAGAACCTAAGAACGTAATGCGAATTCAGAAGTAAATCTTTCCAAATGATGCCCATCCGAATTAACAGTGGAAATTACCATTGACTTGTCTTTTGATCAGCTTTTGAAATCTCTTCTCCCCAGCCTAACGGAAAGGTCCACAGTATTATAATAATAGCCTCGCATCTGTATACTTTTAATATAGTCTTAGCTGCAGGACGAATGTCAGGAAGCCAATTTGTAAGTTGTAGGAGACTTTTTATGCAGTTATGCAGTCATGGGATGTTTTCCTGGGCTCACCCTTAAGCGCGAGGCCGCCGACACTGGGCAGATGCTCTGTTTTTGCTGGACTCTTTGGTTTTCATGGCAGACCACTAAACATTTTTTTTCTTGTGTGTCTCTTTGCCATCCCCCCACCCCCACTGTTCCCAGGATGATGAGGATGATAATGCGGGCACAGAGATGAAGATACTTCGGGGACACTGTGGACCAGTATACAGCACAAGGTTCCTCGCAGACAGCTCAGGGTTGCTCTCTTGTTCTGAAGACATGTCCATTAGGTACTGGGACCTCGGGAGTTTCACCAACACTGTGTTATACCAAGGACATGCCTACCCTGTGTGGGACCTGGACATTAGCCCATATAGCCTGTACTTTGCCAGCGGGTCCCATGACCGCACTGCGAGGCTGTGGTCATTTGATCGGACGTACCCGCTGAGGATATATGCCGGGCACCTGGCAGATGTGGACTGTGTCAAATTCCACCCTAATTCGAACTACTTAGCCACAGGCTCGACCGACAAGACTGTCCGGCTGTGGAGTGCCCAACAGGGGAACTCAGTGAGGCTCTTCACCGGCCACCGCGGCCCCGTGCTCTCTCTCGCCTTTTCTCCCAATGGTAAGTACTTGGCATCGGCCGGCGAGGACCAGCGGCTGAAGCTGTGGGACTTGGCCTCTGGGACCCTTTATAAAGAACTGAGGGGCCATACGGACAACATCACCAGCCTCACCTTCAGTCCGGACAGTAGTCTGATCGCCTCTGCGTCCATGGACAACTCGGTGCGCGTCTGGGACATTAGGAACACGTACTGCAGCGCCCCTGCCGACGGCTCCTCTGGAGAACTCGTGGGCGTCTACACCGGGCAGATGAGCAATGTACTGAGCGTGCAGTTCATGGCCTGCAACCTTCTTCTAGTGACTGGAATCACACAAGAAAATCAGGAACATTAATTTCTTTCTTTTTTTTTTTTTTTTTTTTTTTTTAATCTTTGTTGTAACGGACTGGGGCAGTAGTGGAAAGGCTCCAGGTTGCAAGTCTTAGGACGAATTGAGATTGAATCACTGACTGACTGTGAAAGACTCCCCGCTTCCCCCCCCCCCTTCTCCCGTGCACACGTCCCGAGCGCGTCACCCCTTCCCTCCCTCCGTCCCCCCGAGGGTCGAAGGACTGGGGGCGGGAGAGGTGCTGTCATTGGACATGAGATGGAGAATCAAGAGGCTCTGGAGGTCGGATTGCCAGTTCTTACAAAGATCCCCCCGCGTCCTCGCCCGGGCACCTTCCGGTGTGTGTCTCGCTTTCCCCGCGTGTAAACCCGAGATGCTGCTTCCCTTGCCACCGCCACCGCCGGGTGCTGCGTTGGGCCCGAGGATGGCCGCAGGGCGCGCTCAGGACAGTGCCCCAGGATCATGTGTTCTCGGTCGCCTGGGTGGAAGGGGGCTTTACTGGGGTAGGAATGAGGGGGTGGGAACTAGGAACGGGGCGGGGATAATCCTGGCAAAAAGTCTTTCCTTTCCCGTGATTACAGAGAACCAGGATTTTTTTTTATTATTATAAGTATAATTATTATTATTATTGAGAAGAGGAAACCTAGCACTGGCAGAGGGGCTTTCTCTGCTCTCATCTTTCAGGTTTTACTCCTGGCACTGGCTGTGATACTTGGAATCTTGAGGTTCAGGGAATTCAGAGAATTTGGTAGCACAGTGTTTTGGGAGAAAGGGAAAATTTCTGGGGTGACGGACTGATCACTCCGGCTGACATGTTTCTCGAAGCGGGCGGTGGGGGGGGTGGGGGGGTGGGGGGTGCGTGTGAGCAAGTCCTGGGCTCTGGCGGTGATGGTGGGAGAGAGTCTCCTCGCGGCTGCCCTTCTGTGAACCGTTCTCTCCCCCCGAAAGGACAGATTGCGGCAAAGAGATGAAAATAAATCGAAGCGATAAGGCAAAAGATAGAATTCGAAAATGTTAAATTTCCAAACGCCCCCCTCTTCAGAGGCGTGGCGCTCTCAGCATCCTTTTCTCCTGCGATCGGTTGCTCCCACCTGCGCTGCAACAGCGGTTTAATGAACAGTTTGCGGAACAAATCGTTGAGTACGCCCGCACGCATAGCCAACTGTGCTTTGAGGATAAAGCAAGTTCGAATTCGTGGAAAAAGGATTAAATATTTCTGTTTTCTGAAAAGAGTTATTTTGTATTTTGTTTTCTATTAAAATGTATTTAGTTTCAAAAAAAAAAAAAAAAGTGTCGTATCTCATTGAAACTGTGAGGACAGATGGGCGTGCGGCCTGTCCCGGGGTGGCGCGCAGCCCGCCTCTCCCGGGGATGGCAGCCAGGGATGTAGGCCAAGCCAGCCCCGATGCAGGTGTACTCTTCTCTGCCCCTGTGTCCTGTGCAGCTTACTGTGAATCGTGATTCCTCTTCCCATTCACAGGAATTATTGGTCGCACTTAAGACTGATCAAATTTCTGGGGCTCCTGGGTGGCTCAGTCGGTTAAGTGTCCGACATCAGCTCAGGTCATGGTCTCGTGGTTTGTGAGTTTGAGCCCCGCGTCGGGCTCTGTGCTGATGGCTCAGAGCCTGGAGCCTGCTTCACGTTCTGTGTCTCCCTCTCTGTCTACCCCTCCTCCACTCACACTCTGTCTCTCTCTGTCTCTCCAAAAAAAAAAAAAAAGACTGATCAAATTTCTAAGGGGCATAAGAGCTGTGTTGTTTCATTAATTTAAACCATTTATTGAACAATTCCGGATAAAGGTCTTGTGCAAAAATTTAAATGATGCAAGAATTTTTTAAATGTACTGGTGAAACATCAAAAGCTCTCAGGAAACCAAATAGGAAGATTCTAGCATTATGTGTGAAAATTCTGTTTTTACTTGAGCCTAAGATGCTAATAATAATAGGAAATGTTTCTCAATCATAAAAATCTGTATATTTGAGATACCGTAAGAAGGATCCTATGGTAACTTAGCCAGCGTCACCTTCCACATCGTCTGTGGAAGAGCCTAGATAGAATTCAGATGTGTTCTTATCTGTAAGAAGTGAACTCTCAAGTTAGATTGTATGCTATATTGCTAGAAGCAATAATCCCTAAATTGAGCTGAATCATTCTCCAGAAGTGAAAATACCACTGATCAGGGATGATTTGGAAAGGGTCTGTGTTTGTTTTTGAATGCAATATTTCTTTGATTAAACACAAAAAATGTATTAGGTTGGTCAGTCTTAAAATTACCGATCATGTATATGCTTTGTGATTTCAGTTGAAGCTCTTAACGATCCGTATGTTTGGCCTCTTTTTGCTGCTTTGAACTAACTTTAATGTGGAGTAATTTAACTTAATAGAACCCTCCTCACAACGTCCCCCAGATTCTTAGAAATATCATATGTGTGATTATGGCCACGAGGGTGCATATGAACATCGTTCTACTCTTAACGTTGCTCTCCTGCATTGTTTTATTGTCTCTTCAGAGCAGTTTTGTTCGGCGGACAGGACTGGTGATATCACCACTTGGTACATGAAATATCTAAAGCCCAGAGAAGCTATATTATCTACACCCAACAGGGAATGATCACATGTCTTGGATGTTTTACAGAGAGGAGCTCTATTTAGTATCCTCAAGTTCTAGCTGGAGGATATAGCCTTGAAGATAGAAAAACCTTAAAAAAAAAAAAAAACCTTCAGGAAGGAAATATGCATATTAAATATATATGTATGTATATGCAGTGCTTACTATCTCTCAGAAATCATTCTATGATCTCCGTAACGACTCTGGGAGCTAAGTGCCATTTTTATCCACATTTTACGTTGGGGATTTTGAGGCCCTGTTGGATTAAGTCACTTGCCAGAGAGTCACGCAGCTAGTAACCAGAATTTGAACCTGGGCAGTCTGGCTCCAAAGTGCATGTTCTTCCCCAGACTCTTGTCTTCCTTCGTTCCCAGGTAAAGAGTGACCTGAGGTTACTAGTCATTAAATATTCTTGCCAATAGTTGTTAGACTCATGCTTCCCTTTGCCAGAGAAATCAGCAGCGAGCAGATCAAACTGACACTAACTACAAACAAACAATATGTACAAGTTTCTAAAAGAAACTTGAGAATCTTCAATTATTTTGAGCCACGATGATAAATCTCTGTAATGTGCATCAGGTAGGGGAAAAAAACAGCTTGAGATTTCTTAGACCGAGAGGCTCAGAAAACCTGACTGTAATTTCAATTTAGCAGTAGACAGGCCAAAAGAAAGAGAAAGTTAAGATAAAGGAAAGTAATAAATTGAGATGAAACGGGAAACAATTTGAAGTTTATGTGTGTGTGTGTGTCTGTGTTTTTATCCTTAGCTTCTAAGTATAGCTGTGATTAGCTTTTCACTTGTTTTTATTCAGATATTAAAAATGTCGTGGATGTATTAAAAAATCCATTGAGTATGTAGGCTTCTAACTTTGCTATTGCCCAGATATTTAAGTATATGGATTAAAAGATTAGTCTGTGGGCGCCTGGGTGGCTCAGTTGGTTGAGTATCTGGCTCTTGATCTCGGCTCAGGTCAAGATCTCACGGTTCATGGGATGGAGCCTTGAGTCACGTTCCATGTTGACAGCAGAGAGCCTGCTTGGGATTCTCTTTCCCCCTCTCTGCTCCTCCCCTGCTCATGTGCGTGTTTTCTCTCTCATAATAAATAAACGTTAAAAAAAAAAAAAAAGATTAGTCTATACTTCAACTTGTCTTTCGGTTGCATGTTTTAGAAAAGTGTCCCTTATATCTATGCCTGGCCCACAGCAAGGATTCATGTTATCGAGCCCCACATGGCAGCCAATTAATTCTGAAACTGCTTTATGGTAAACAGAAAATCTTCACTATAGAATTTGAGGAATGCAAATGTTCCTTGTCAGTTTGGCCCATCGAAGGACAACTTAAGATACTTTCCCATGATTGGCTGAAATTTCTATATGAAAGATTTTTATGTTAAATATGTGAATGTTGGGGCGCCTGGGTGGCGCAGTCGGTTAAGCGTCCGACTTCAGCCAGGTCACGATCTCGCGGTCCGTGAGTTCGAGCCCTGCGTCGGGCTCTGGGCTGATGGCTCAGAGCCTGGAGCCTGTTTCCGATTCTGTGTCTCCCTCTCTCTCTGCCCCTCCCCCGTTCATGCTCTGTCTCTCTCTGTCCCAAAAATAAATAAACGTTGAAAAAAAAATTTTTTTTAAATAAATAAATAAATAAATATGTGAATGTTATGATCAGATAATGTGTTAGTGGGCAAAAATGCAGCAGTACGCAAACTGATATAGACCCTGACTTGAGTTCATAGTTTAAAGGGGGAAGCAAATATTGATCATACAATACCATAAATAAATACATAATTTCAAGCGGTAGGGAGTGCTATACTGGGTGCAATGAAAGAATATGCCCCAGGAATCGAATTTACACTAAGCATTCAAGGAAGACTCCCTGAAGAAGTAACAATGAAGCTGAGACCTGGAGGGGAAGCAGGAGTTAGCCAGGCAGAGCTCAGGAAAGAATGGTCCAGACCCCCAACTGGGGAAGGACCTGGTACGCTCAAAGAAGTCCACTGGAGCTGAGGCAAGGTGAGTAAGGAGCACAACGGCTCGACATGAGTTCGGATAATTGGCAGGGTTTTGGGGCACTGTTGGGAGTTTGGCTTTTATCCCAGGTGGGATGGAAACCATTGAACAGTGTACCTCAGCCAAGTGACGAAGTCCAAGTTGCACCTTAACGTCACTGCCAGCAAGAGGACATAGACACATTTGCAGTGGACTTGCACTGCAGCATCAGGATAACTAGGCAACATTTACTGGACCTGTCTGTACCGAGCACTGCAGGGTAGCTGAATGATGGAAGCCAGCGACCGTGTGCCAGGCAGCCCTATGTGACGTGACCTGTGGGGCAGTGAACCAAAAGCAGCCTCTAACCAACAGCCTGTGAGGACCCGAATCCTGCCAACTACCACACAAATGAGCTCCGATGCAGATGCTGTCCCGTTCGAGCCTTCAGATAAGACTGCAGCCTCCTGATCGACCTTGCGACAGAGACATCCAGGTAAGTCTGCCTGGTTTCCCAATTCACAGAAACCGTGAGATATTAAGCCACTAAGGTTTGGGGAGATTACTTCTGTAGAGTTGGTAACTAACCTATCAGTCCCACTCCATAGTCCATTCTTTTAACTGCTACGCTCTAGAAAATGAGATCATTACTGATTAAAAAAAAATCACTGGCAGGTGTAAGGAGCATGGATTGAGGGTATGAGAGTGAGCGAGGAGGCCAGTTAAGATCATTGCAGATGTCCAGGGGTGAGATGGGGGTGGCATGGGCTAGAGTAGCTACGGGGGAAATGGGGAAACATGGACAAATCGAGTGAATGTTACAGAGGTGGATTGACTAGACTTTATTGGGTTGTATGGGGGGAAGAGACAGAAACAGATGACCCACACGTTTCTGGCACGAGCAGTTGGGTGGGTAGAGTTGCCATTTATTGTGATGAAAATCCTAGAGGAAGAGGAAGTTTGGGGCAAAAGGTCGAGAGGTCGGTTTTGTACCTCTAAAGTTTGAGGTGTGTACGAGAAAACCAAGTGACGATACCGGATAGGCATTGAGATAGAGACACGTGGGGCTTAGAGCAGAGGTCTGGCCCTGACATGCTAGTTTGGGACTTCTGTTCATTAGAGGACTTTCTGCCACGGGCAGAAATCTGACTCCAAGTGGTTTACAAATAAGGCATTTTATTGGTTCCCGTAACAAAGTGTACAGGTCAGGTGGGTTTCGCGTGCAACTCACTAAGGGCCCCGCCTGTGTGCTGCGACTCCTCTGTGTTCTCTTCCGCGGTTGGCTTGTTCACAGCCTGGCTTTTCCCATGGTTGTGAGAGGGCCGCCAACAACAATGAAGGCCAGGCTCATCCTTAGTCATGTCAAGTGGGGATGTGAGCTCACTTTCCATTCCTCGCTTTTAAGAGCAAGGAAGATGTATCTGGAAGCTCCAGCAAACCTCTCCGATTTGCAGTAGGCCTGCTAATCACGGAACCTGTCCCTGATGAGGGCAAGAGTCATTAGCATGTAGTTGGAATTTAAAAGCCACCGAACAGATGTGATTACCAAGGTTAAGAGCATAGAGTAAGAGGAGATGAAGGCCTACAACTACGTCTTGACATTCCCCCACATGTACAGTTTCAGAAAGGAGCAGC